TGAAAGCGGAAACTGAAGGTTTTATCCTTGCTGCACAGGACCAATGCTTGTTAACTAGAAATTATGAAGCGCATGTACTAAAATATTGTGTCAGCACAAAATGCAGATTCTGTGATAAATATCCAGAAACGATTGATCATCTTGTATCAGGTTGCACGATATTGGCACCAACTGAATATAAAAACCCGACATGACAGAGTTGGCCAATATCTGCACTGGGAAATCTGCAACTTCTACGGAAGGAAACTGAAAGAAAATGGTATGAACACCACCCAGACACGGTTACGGAGATAGGACCTGTTACAATTCTATGGGGCTACACAACACACTGACAGAACAATTAAAAGCCAACTGCCCAGATATTGTTATTAAAGACCACAAATAAAAAAAGTGCCTTCTTATTGATATGGCAGTCCCTGCTGACTGCAATGTATCTGAAGATATCCAAAAGCTATCAGAATACAAGGACCTTCAAAGAAATCTCGAAAATGTGGCTATGGGAACATCAACAATCCCTGTTGTAGTTGGAGCCCTAGGATTGGTTGGAAATATTCCAGTAGATTAATTGAAGGGATTCCTGGAAGCCCATGCCTCAAAGAGATACAAAAAATTGTTCTCACAAATAAAGCCCACATTTTATGAACGGCTTTATCTATGTAATTTTTTTTTTTTTTTTGTCAGTGGATTGATTTATGATGCCATTTCTAACCTTAGGTCCCTAGGCGGGACCCGGAGAGAAATGTGTAAACGCCAGAAATCATAGAAAATAATAATAGTAATAATAATAGTGATAATTTATCAGGTTGCATAGTATTAGCGCCAATTAAATATAAAACTCGGCATGACAGAGTGGGCTAATATCTGTAATGGAAAATATGCAACTTTTACGGAAAGGAAAGTTCCAGAAACTGATATGAACATTCCCAAGACTCGGTTACAGAGACAGGATCTGTAACAATTTTATGGGACTTTAAAATATACACAGAGAAGACAAAACTAATCACCCAAAGACAGCTAAAACAGAATGCGCTTTCTTATTGACATGACAGTCGCTGCAGATTGTATTGTATCTTTGAAGATATTCGAAAAACTATCAAAACATAAGGATCTTGAAGTGGAAATCTAAAACATCTGGCACATGAGGACATCAATAATTCCAGTTGAAGTTGGAGCCCTCGAGTTGATCGGAAAAGATTCCAATTGACTCATTGAAGGGATTACTGGTAGCCCATGCCTTAAAGAAATAAAAAAAATTGTTCTCATGAGTACATCCCACAATTTACGAAGGGCTTTATCTATGTAAAATATGTATTTTTTTTTTGTTGCTTTTTTTTGACTCACTGGAAAAGATCATGATGCCATTTCTGCACTTAGGTCTCTGGGTGGAACCTGTAAAGAAATGCGTCAAACCAAAAATCAAAGGAAATAAAACCATAATAATAAGAAAAAATCCATGGAAATCCCAGCTTAAGCGAAATACAAAAATTATCATGATAAGTGCAGCCCAAATATTAAAACGAACTTTGTCCATGTAACGCTGGTGACGTTATGGGAGTTGGAAAAACAAATCATGAAATTTAGCCATATCAAAACACATCTACCTGATTTAGGTCATCTTGCAGACTTGGTTTATAACCATAGAAAAAATCGAAATCTAATGATAATAATAAAAAATGAAGATGATACTAATAATGATAATGATATTAACAGTGATAATAATAATAACAATCTTAGTTATTTGTTTTGTTGTTTTGCTTTTTAAAAAATGATTTGTGGAAAATGTCATGACGGCATTTCTGATCTCAGGTGTTTGATTTGGGACCAGGAAAGAAATATAGTATCAAACAAAATAGAAATAATAAAAATAATAATAATAATAATAATAATAATAATAACAGAAATGAAAGAAAATAATAATAATAATAACTAGGAATTATCAAGCAGACATACTAAAATCTCGTGTTATCCCAAAATGCAGTTTATGTGATATTTACCCAGAAACAATTGATGATCTTGTATCAGGTTGCATGGTATTGGCACCCACTGAATATAAAACCCGACATGACAGAGTTGGCCAATATCTGCACTGGAAAATCTGCAACTTCTACGGGAAGAAAACTGAAAGAAACTGGTATGAAGACCACCCAGACCCGGTTACGGAGATAGGACCTGTTACAATTCTATGGGACTACACAATACACACTGATAGAACAATCAAAGCCAAACGCCCAGATATTGTTATTAAAAACCACAAACAAAAAAGTGCCTTCTTATTGATATGGCAGTCCCTGCTGACTGCAATGTATCTTTGAAGATATTCAAAAAGCTTTCAAAATACAAGGACCTTGAAATAGAAATCTCGAAAATGTGGCATATGGGAACATCAACAATCCCTGTTGTAGTTAGAGCCCTAGGATTGGTTGGAAAAGTTTTCTGTAGATTAATTGAGGGATTCTTGGAAGTCCATGCCTCAAAGAGATACAAAAAATTGTTCTCACAGGTACAGCACACACTTTACGAAGGCCTTTGTCTATGTAATTTTTTTTTTGTCAGTGGAAAGTGTCATGATGCCATTTCTAACCTTAGGTCCCTGGGAGGGACCCGGAAAGAAATGTGTAAATGCCAGAAATCAAAGAAATAATAATAATAATAATAAAGAGAAGAAGATGAAGGAAATTCCGAGAAGGCAACACTGTCTGAAATACAAAACATTGGGCACAAAGAAGCCACTCAAATACGCAGGAAAACTCGCTGAATGTACATTATTAGGACTTTTGTTCTCATTACAACATTTCGGTCATTGTACGCTCCGGCCTTCTTCAGGTTGTTGGAATGTCGAACTGAACCCTTTATTTCGCTCAATATATTTTTTTTTTATAGTTATGTCAGTTATCAGTTATTTCCCTTTGAAAGTTCGCCACAGCCTTAACCACGTATTGAACTCACATTCTCTGGATCCTGTTAATGCATTTAACTAACGCCTTTATCCACGGTGCCATGTGCCCTTGAGGGAATCTGTCTATGAATTTCAGGGTATTATAAACTTAATGTCTTCATCAAACTCTTTTTCACCAGTGCTCATATTTCAATTTTTGCTGTTATCATACATGTTTTTACCAGTGCTCATATTGCAATTTTAGTTGTTATTATCGATTTTCTTTGGCACTCCTTATTACTGGTTTCCATATTGTATTTAATTTCTATGATTAAGGGGGTGGCCTGTCACCGTTTTATATTTCTTTCCGCGTTTATCCACTGGTCCATTAAAGGCGTTGTTTAGATACAGTGACAGGACCCAAAGAGCGTGAGTTCAATACCCGGTTAAGGCAGTGGAGAACTTTCAGAGGGAAATTAACAGGAGATAACTGATAACTGACATCCATTAAACATGGTACGTGGAACTAGAACAGTCTACCCCAGTGAGCGAAATGAAGGGTTCAGTTCGGCCGAAACGTTGTAATAAATATGGCGACAAAGATGAGGACAATAGTCCGAATAATGTAAATAATGTACAATGAGCGAGTTTTCCTGTGTATTTAAATGGCTTTTTTGAGCCCAATGTTTTGTTTTTCAGACTGTTGACTTCCCGGAATTTCCTTCATCTTCTTCTCTTTATTATTATTATTATTATTATTATTATTATTATTATTATTATTATCCTTTGATTTCTGACGTCTACACATTTCTTTCTTAATGTAAATAATGTACATAATACCTCATCTCAGAAATATAGACAGATACTGAAAGGCCGAAATGTTGTGATAAATAAGGCGACAAAGATGAGGACAATAGTCCGAATAATGTAAATAATGTATATAATACCTCATCTCAGAAATATAGACAGATACTGAAAGGCCGAAACGTTGTAATAAATATAGCGACAAAGATGAGGACAATAGTCCGAATAATGTAAATAGTGTACATAATACCTTATCTCAGAAGTATAGACAGATAATGAAAGGCCGAAACGTTGTAATAAATATGGCGACAAAGATGAGGACAATAGTCCGAATAATTTAAATAGTGTACATAATACCTCATCTCAGAAATATAGACAGATACTGAATGCCGAAACGTTGTAATAAATATAGCGACAAAGATGAGGACAATAGTCCGAATAATGTAAATAGTGTACATAATACCTTATCTCAGAAATATAGACAGATACTCGCTTATTGTACTATGTTCAATAACTTTCTAAAGGGAAAACATCCTTTGTGCTCAGGTGAAAAAAAAAATCCGTAAAGGATTCTATGAAACAACAAATCAAGAGAAGTGGAAAAATTATAATAAATAAAAAAACCTTAAAAAAGTTGTCACTACGTATCGACAAACAATAAAACTAAAAATACAAATTGGTTGTCATATATTTTCTCTGTGTGAAGTTATGAATGCTAGTCATGAATTACGTATTGGACGTTTGTCGAGGCTTTGGTTGACAGCAACATTTGACTTCTTGACGAACAAAACATACATCATACGGAAAATTAGTTTGCCAGTCACAGGAAAATGGCGACCAACGATAAGAATCTTTTTCTTGTGGGGAAGAGGGAAATGAGAAATATATTGAAAAGTAGGAACATGTGCCCTTTGCTATTTGTCTCATAATATTCAACGTACCCTCTTTATAGATGCATGCATACATACATACACACACACACACACACATATATATATATATATATATATATATATATATATATATAAGTGTGTCTGTGTGTGAAAATGGTTGAAATGTAAAAATATATATTTTCCTAGTTATATATTTATATATATGTATATATATATATATATATGTATGACTCTCTCATACACCTCTCTCTCTCTCTACACACACACACACATTTATATATATATATATATATATATATATATGTATGTATGTATGTATATATATATATATGTGTGTGTATGTATATACATGGAAGAGGAAAGTGGCCTAGTTAGAGCGTATAAAAAAACGTAGATTCGCATACAAAATCACATGTTATTTTTCTTTT